GGGTTACTCGTGATCGCATAGGTTTTATACTATGCAACTGCATAGTAGAGCGAATTTCTAATTTGAGTCATTTTGATCCTCAAGTTTCATTCCTTCACTCCTTGACCTCCTCATCTTGTTTCTAATTGCTCCAATGTTCCATTATTACTTCCAATTGGTGCTTGGCTTGATCAATTGCTTGATGTGTTCATCGGGTCAACTTTCAGATAATTGCAATTTGGTTCCTGAATTTTCATTTTGCTTCAATTTGGTCCTTTTTCGGCTCTTTTCTCCCGAATTCCACTATTTCCATAGAATTACCTACATTGCACGAATTTGACAAAGTTAAGTAACAATTCAATCATTTTACTTGTATTTAAGTCATGTTTGTGATGTAAATTTATCAGTGCAAAATGACATCAACCTTTACTTGTTAAGTGCATACTTGACGTGTGTGTGTGGATTCATGCTAACATATCAAGTTTATGATGAGTTTGAGTCCCGACCCCAAGTGGTCAAATGTCTCCTTACTCGCTCGAGAGATACACAACCCCCCAAACTTATTCTTTTCACTCGATTATCCTGGGGTTGTGTTTAAAAATTATGAGTTTACCTAGCTATAGTTCTCACCCTCTCGTAGTTTGGATTAAACTCACTATCACAAGTTCACGTGTCAACAAGTGAAGGCTCTCCTAGTTTTGATTGCTTCGACACTCAAGATTAAACTAGGTTACTTTCCTCGCCTCAAAGGTATAGTTTCTTCCACCAATTGTCCAAGGGCTTTTCTTCTTGTTATTGTCTCGTTTTGTTTAATCTCACTTTTCTCTGGTTTTCTGAATTTATTTTATTTATTTATTTTTATATCATCTTCTCATTTGCTTTCTATATAACCCATGTAACGAGCTTTAGGCCGGTGACTCCCAAACCAGTTGGTTTTAGGGCACTAGGTTTTTAAACCCTTGCAGGCTTATTCACCTTAGTTATAAAGGCTCGATCAGATGACTTTTTATTAACTTCTTTACTTCTTGCTTTCTATATGACCAATGTATCGAGCTTTAGACCGATGACTCCCAGATCAGTTGACCTTAGGGCACCAGATTTTGAAATATCCTTGCAGGCTTACTTACTCGAGTCATAAAGGCTGAAAAAGAAGTGTCTTATTCTCACAAATTAAGTTTATGCCCTTATTTTTTCAGATATCTGGTATCCAAAACCAACCCTCAATTTAAGATTTTCACCTACTCTTCATCCCACTGGTCTAGGCAATCCACAAAATAATTCATGCACGGAGCCTCACTTATCTCATTGTTTTCCTATAATAGCTCAACTATCACCAAACTGTCTTAAGCTAGTTTACGGGTTAATTCAATAGAGGGTTATAATTATTTTCTACTTTATGCTCAAAACCCCAATCACATACCTAACATGTAAAACATGAATGACGTGCATATAGAATGTCAGGTATTACATCAACAAGTATTAGTTGGCCTAATTAACACCGACTCCAAAGTTTTGATATATACCAATCCAATAGTAACATCATAGCCGACAAGGCGATTAGGCTCACACAAGCATACATAAGCATAATCAATATTCACTCACAAGCATGCCTCATGTAACAATTAGTCAAATTAAATCTGGATTGTGGAAATGCAATTAATTACATGCCGAATGTCTTTATCAAATTATGCCACCATCCCCCAAGCTTATACAAGACATTGTCCTAAATGCAAAAATTAAGTTTAGATGGCAGAATTTAAGGAAAATGAGTACAAATGAGGCAAACGATACTCCCCTGATTAATACGGGGGCTACGATGGAAAGCTAGATCCTGCAGTATCATCAGCTGGAGGTGGAGGTAGGCGCGCCAAGATCTCTCTCATCAGTGCTGACTGCTATGTCATTTCATCATGGATTCCCTTAACACGTGTCTCCAAACGGCCTAAACACTCCCAAGTTGCATTTACCCTCATCTGGATACCATCCACCCTGCCTACATACACACTGAGTTGATCGTTCATATTGTCCATCTCCGTCCTAACTGACTGGGCATCCTGGTGAGCAGCACGTGACATATCAGTGGAAATGCGGATGTCACGGTGGGCTGTATGCATCTCAGTCGTTAAAGTCCCCATAGCCTGCTGGAGACTCTGTATGTCTCGGCTGGTCCCCGTGGTGGTGGTGGTGAAAATCTGGCGCCACAGCTGTGCATTTAACTCAGCCTGTGGTGGTGGAGCTTGAGGCATCTCTTGCTCTGCGTGCTCGTGACCTTGCTCTTTCTGCTGTCTGCGCCTTTCAATTTCTTGCTTTTCCCAGTGCTTTATCCTGGCTCTGTCTTGAGCCTCCAAGGTACTGTGCTTTATGGTGGGGTTGGGTTTGGCAGCCACCTCCCCGGATACAATGTTTATACCAGCAGCTATGCAAATTCCGGAGATGAGGCTTGGAAAGATCATTGAGCTGTGCCTATCGCCCAAGGTACCCACATGATGGATCTGATTATAGCAAAGAGTGGCAAGATCAACCTTAGTACCTCGCACCAAGTGATAAAGGAATCCAGCTGTGGGATCTGTGAATGTGGTCCTGTGAGAGGTCGGCTCAATGTTGTGGCACATAAACAGCCATAGGATGGCTATAGATGGTGTCAGCTCAATCTGGTGCCACTCGGTGGTGGGGAGTGGCCATGCATTTTGCCCCAATAAGATCTCTGCCACTTCATGCCAATTGAAGTCGCCTGGTATAGGGGTTATGTTTTCCCACGTGAGCTGGTAGTAGTCTTGAATAACCTCGGGTGAGAATGTGATCCATTTTCCCCTGACTCAAGTCTGATGCAGGTGGTCGGACCCTGGTGTGTCAATTTCTGTATTGAAGTTGGCGTAAAATTCCCCTACCAACAATTCATAACTCCGATGTGGCTGCTCCACTATTTTATCCCATCCACAGTTATGCACCAAAGTGGTCAGCTTGAAATCAGGAAAGTCTTCCAATTTAATAGCCCGCTCTGGTGTCATTGTCCATCGACTCACTATGTTTTCATATCGGGCTGCTGTCTCGGAAGTCAAAAATCTTTGTATCCCTCCTTCAAGCACTCGAGTGCGTGCTGTGCCAAATGATGAGCCAACCTTTTCCTTTCCTTTTGAAGTTCGTTTTGGTGGCATCCTGCAAAGTTGGAAAATAGCTAGCATTAGACATCTTGTTGTACAGTGAGAAATCGCATGAAATGAAAAACACGTAATTCACAAATCCCCCAAACTTGTTTCAATAAGCATGTATACTACCACGGTGTGTAATGAACAATGTATGATGATTAGAGTAGAATAAATGTATAGTCCATATGAAAACATAAGAAAATTTGGGTGAATATGCTGATAGTGAAAGGGTTGGAGTCATGATTGAGTGTACACCTTCGGCCCCGAGCACCATCGAGAATTATCAAGATTGTCCCAGGCAACCTCTAGGCATATGAAAGTATGCAATGAGATCTAGCATATACCCAAATTTCAGCTCAATCGGAGTTCGTTTGGTGCATCAAATGGTAGTGCAAAATAAGGGATGGAGGGTGCTGTGGGCATGCAATGACTTAGCTAATTTGTGTGCATGTTTGTGTTGATGTAGTCTAAGTCACATTGGTTGGTAATGCATCACAACGAGTTATTCCATTCATCTAATAGTCATATGCCATGCTAGATGTTCATAATTGTATTAGATTACCAAAAATGGGCATTTTATCGAACATGTTGTGGGCATTATGAAACCTTCATATACTTGCCAAAAATTTACTATGTCACATGGTTCCCCATTCAAAAATCAATCACCAATCTCCTACACATTCATCAATCAAATGAATTTAATGCAACATATACCAAAATACCCAAAAATTATCAATGTGGCAATTTATCAAACACATGACAAGCATATAGTGAAAATGGTGTCAATTGAAAGAATTTTGGTTTAGAATCATTCCAAATTTTCACACAACACAAGCACAACCAATCCATATGCACATGAACTAGTCTAATCTCCCTCAAATCGCCAAAATTACATTCACAATCAATAGAACCGAAAACGGAATTGAGGGAAGGGGGGGAAGAACACATACCTTGTGTTTGTAGGGTTGAATCGATGGAGAGAATGGATTTCCCTTCAATTATATTATAATGCAACGAATAAATTCGTGTGTGATGTTAGCCTAAAATTGATTTGGGAAGAGAGTGAGAGGTTGGAATTGATTTGAAATCCTTAGAAAATGATTCGGGCGTGGGTTAAAAACCCATGCCTTTTTTATACCTATGCGGCCGCATAGTTAAAATCTATGCGGTCGCATAGGTATATTTGTTTTTTGATTTTTAACTTTGATAGGTGTCTATGCGGTCGCATAGATACCATGTCTATGCGATCGCATAGACACACATTTTTTTTTTCAAAAGAAATAAAATAAAACAAAGGCTCTTTTCCCAAAAAAATCCGATTTTTGTCCAAAATTTTTTTTAAATGACCTGACTCTCAACGTCCCCAATTTTTCAGAAACATACTTTTAAAATATTGACATGTAAAATTTAGAAAACATAATTTACCTCGAAATACGTGAATTCCACACTCAACTACCAAAAACAACTCAAATCAACCCGAACTCGTGTGTGATACTTAAGGACTCTTGTGAACAGTGCTTGCACTTCTTTTAACATGCCTAGATGATCGATGACCACTTAACAAAATACTAAATGAATTTGAAAATAAACTTCCTAATCTAATGCAGAAAACATAATAAAGTAAGTAAACAGATAAAAAGGATACAGTGGGTTACCTCCTACCCAGCGCTAAGTTATAGTCGATAGCTCGACTTTTCTGCGGGTGCTTCATTCTGGCGTCTCGAGTTGAACGGTTGACTTTTGGTTAGAGAAGTCACCATCCCAATAGTGTTTCAACCTTTGCACATTAATAGTGAAGGTACCCTTATTCTCATTGCTCACTTGTATAGCTCCATATGATAGGACTTTTGTAACTGTGTAGGGACCCGACCACCGTTATCGTAGTTTTCCTGGGAATAGCTTGAGTCTCGAGTTATACAGTAGTACTTGCTGCCCCACTTCGAATACTCGCCTCTGAATGTGCATATCATGCCAATTCTTGGTTCGCTCCTTGTAAAGTTTTGCATTTTCATAAGCCTCCATTTTAAATTCATCCAACTCATTCAGTTGCAGTAGACGCTTTTCTTCGGCGGCATTCAAGTCCATATTTAACTGTTTCATAGCCCAATATGCCCGATGCTCCATTTCTAATGGGAGATGACATGCTTTCCCAAAGACTAGGCAGTATGGAGACATGCCGATTGGGGTCTTGAATGTTGTTCTGTAAGCCCATAATGCATCGTCTAGCTTTTTAGACCAATCCTTTCTAGATGAATTCACAGTGACTTCTAGTATTCTCTTTAGCTGCCGATTAGATACCTCAGCTTGCCCGCTGGTTTGTGGATGATATGGAGTAGCAACGCGGTGTTTATCGCCATATTTATTCAGCAGATGCTCAAACTGGCGATTACAAAAATGCTTGCCCCCATCGCTAATTATAGCCCGCGGTGTACCATATCGGGTGAAAATGTATTTTTTCAAGAATCCAATAACTGTCTTTGAGTCATTTGTTGGCAATACAACTGCTTCCACCCATTTTGAGACGTAATCCACTGCCACCAAGATATACTGGTTTAAGAACGAAGGGGGGAAAGGTGCCATGAAGTCAATTCCCCAAACATCAAATATCTCCACTTCCAAAATATTGTTCAGTGGCATTTCATTTCTCCTCGAGATATTCCCAGTGTGTTGACATCTGTCACACCTCTTAACAAACTCAATTGTGTCTTTAAATAGTGTAGGCCAGTAGAAACCTGATTGTAAAATCTTTGCAGCTGTTTTTGAAGCTCCAAAGTGTCCTGCATATGCGGATGAGTGACATTGCTCGAGAATCTCATGTACTTCTTCTTCAGGTACGCACCTCCTCACTATCTGATCAGCTCCTCGTCTATAGAGAATTGGATCCTCCCAGAAATAGTATTTTAACTCGGCGAAGAATTTTTTTCTTTGGTGACTGGAGCAGTCAGGTGGTGGAATGGAACTGGCCAAGTAATTGACAATATCTGCGTACCAAGGTGCTTCATCCACTCTCAACATCTGTTCACCCGGGAAGAGCTCATTTATATCTACTAAATCTTCCATCTCCTTAGGTTTTAGTTTGGATAGGTGATCTGCTACTATGTTCTCGGTGCCCTTCTTGTCGCGTATCTCAATGTCAAATTCTTGCAACAACAGCACCCAATGAATTAATCTCAGCTTTGCATCCTTCTTTGTGAGCAGGTACCTCAATGCAGCATGATCAGTATAGACGATGATTTTAGATCCGACGAGGTATGACCTGAATTTGTTAAATGCAAACACCACAGCCAACAGCTCCTTTTCACTGGTTGCATAATTTAGTTGTGCATCATTTAGAGTTCTGCTTGCATAGTAGATCACATGAAAAATCTTGTTCCTCCGCTGTCCCAATACTGCACCTACAGCGTGATCACTTGCATCACACATCAATTCAAAAGGTAATTCCCAGTTTGGCGCTACAATCATTGGCGCTGTCGTAAGCTTTTCCTTTAAAGTGTTGAAGGCTATGAGATAATCCTCATTGAACTCAAAGGTTGCATCTTTCATTAGTAAATTGTACAAAGGTTTAGTGATCTTCGAGAAATCTTTTATAAACCTCCGGTAGAACCCAGCGTGCCCCAAAAAACTGCGAACTCCTTTAACTGATATAGGCGGTGGTAATTTCTCAATCACTTGAATTTTTGCCTTGTCTACCTCAATTCCTTTTGCCGATATCCTATGCCCAAGTATAATGCCTTCTTGCACCATAAAGTGGCATTTTTCCCAATTTAAAACCAGGTTAGTCTCCTTGCATCTCTGTAAGACCAAATTCAAGTGGTTTAGACATTCATTAAATGAAGATCCAAATACTGAGAAGTCGTCCATGAAAACTTCGATAAACCTTTCAATCATATCAGAGAATATTGCCATCATGCACCTCTGAAATGTGGCTGGAGCGTTGCAAAGACCAAAAGGCATCCTACGTTAAGCAAAAGTACCGTAGGGGCAAGTGAAGGTGGTCTTCTCTTGATTATCCTCTGGTGCGACAGGTAGATTATAGCCCGAGTATCCATCAATAATGCAGTAGTGTGAATGTCCAGCCAACCTCTCCAACATCTGATCAATGAATGGGAGTAGGAAATGATCCTTTCGTGTAGCTGCATTGAGTTTGCGATAGTCAATGCAAACTCTCCAACCCGTAACTGTTCTGGTGGGAATTAGTTCATTCTTCTCATTTTTCACCACTGTGATTCCCCCTTTTTTCGGTACCACTTGAACAGGGCTGATCCATGCACTATCTGAAATTGGGGAGATAATTCCTGCATCCAATAACTTCAGTATCTCTGCCCTGACTACTTCCTTCATATTTGGGTTCAATCTTCTCTGACTTTCTATGCTAGGCTTGCAATTTTCCTCCATTAAAATTTTATGCATACACATGGAAGGACTGATTCCTTTAATGTCAGTTATTGTCCAACCAATTGCCATCTTGTTCTCTCTAAGTACCTTGAGCAGTGTTTCCTCCTCCATCTCACTGACTGTGTTCGAAATGATTACTGGAAGTGTATCTGATTCTCCTAAATAAGCATATCTAAGATGTGGCGGTAGTTGTTTGAGTTCTAAAACTGGCAGCTATTAAACTGAAGGTAGTGGCTTTGTGTTTCCCATCCCCAGTTCCTCGAAGTGCCTCTTTCGTGTGTATGGCGGGTTGGTCTCCAAAAATCTTGCACATGTTACAACTTCAAACGATTCTGACTGGATTGATTGGGATTGTGCAATACATGCCTCATAGGCATCAGATGGACTGTATAGTAAGAATGTTTCTTGTACTGCCTTGTCAATAATGTCAACTTGATAACAGCTGTCAGATTCTGCTGGTAATTTCATTGCCTTGAATACATTAAATGATATCTGCTCCTCTCCCAATCTTAAAATCAACTGACCTCTTTGAACATCAATTAATGCTCTCCCTGTTGCCACAAATGGTCTGTCAAGTATCAATGGAACGTCCTTGTCCTCTTCCATGTCCAGGATAAGAAAGTCCGCTGGGAATATGAACTTTTCAACCTTGATAAGCACATCTTCAATTATTCCTCTGGGATGTGTCAGTGACCTGTCAGCCAGCTGAAGTGTCACAGTGGTTGTCTTAGCTTCTCCCAATCCTAGTTTCCTGAAAACAGACAAAGGCATTAAATTAATACTTGCACCGAGATTACATAATGCTTTATCAAAATATACTTCATCGATTGTGCAAGGAACAGTAAAACTCCTTGGATCTTTTAGTTTTGGTGGAAGCTTATTCTGAATTCTGGCACTACATTCCTCAGTAAGCATGACTGTCTCATGATCTTCCAGCTTGCGTTTATTTAATATGATATCCTTCAGAAACTTCGTGTAGCTAGGCATCTAGAATAGTGCATCTGCTAGCGGGATGTTGATATGGAGCTTTTTGAAGATTTCTAGAAATTTTTTGTATTGTTGCTCCACTTTTTGCTTCTTCAAGCGCTGTGAAAAGGGGATCGGAGGTTCGTAGGGGTTGACTGTGACTTTGGCCTTATTTTGTGATTCTTCTGAATTTTCCTTTGAACTTGATTCCTTTACAACAGTCTCTTCTTCAGCGGAGGAAGATGTTTCTCCAATCATTCCCGGTCTCTTGACATGGATTTCAGGTAATTGAACTCCACTTCGAGTTGTAATGGCCTTGGCTTGCTCTTTAGGATTGATTTCTGTATTACTTGGTAAGTTACCTGGTGTTCTGCCAGTCAATGTGATGGCTAGCTGCCCCATCTGAGTTTCCAAATTTTTGATGGCTGCATTTTGATTTTGAAGTGTAGCTTCGGCCTTCTCCATGAACTTTCCTATCATATCTTCCAATTGAGGCCTCTTCTCTTGTTGTTGAAATTGCCCCTGTGGCTTATTCTGATTCTGGTTGCTCCACGAGAAGTTGGGATGTTTTTTCAGATGGGATTGAAAGTCTCACCATATTGATTATGCTGCTGGCGTTGTCTCCACTGTGCGTAATCTGCTTGCTCAATTCCTTGTATGAGTATTGGGCAATCTGATGTTTTGTGCTCGGCTCCACATTCCTCACAATTGCTCTTCTTAGCTTGTGATACTTGTGATATGCTTTCCACCTTGTGATACAGAGAATCAATTTTTGCAGAAATTGCTGAATAAGCGTCCACCTCGTAGACACCTGGAGTTTTCTTTGGAGTCGCTCTCTCAGAAGACCACATGGCTGATGTGGTAGCCATTCGCTCAAATAATTCCAATGCCCCGTCAACTGTTCTTGTGGATATTGAGCCATCTGATGCTGAATCTACCATACTCTTATGGTATGGAAGTAATCCCGTGTAGAAGAATCGAATCTGGGTCTTTTTATCGAACCCATGCTGAGGGCATTTCCGGAGCATGTTTTTAAATCTGTTCCAGGCTTCATCAAATGATTTAGTCTCTCCTTGATTGAATACTGATATATCATGTCTCAGCTTTGCTATCTTGGCTGGGGAGAAGAACTTTGTGCAGAACTTGTGTGCCAGCTCATTCCATGTAGTGATACTTGCAACCGGGAGTGAATCCAACCATTTAAGTGCTCTGTCTCGTAGCGTATGTGGAAAAAGCCTCAACCTAATGGCGTCATCCGAAATCCCTTGGTATCTGAAATGTTGACACATATCCAGAAATCGAGATACGTGTGTGTGTGGATTCTCCTCAGCCTTGCCATAGAATTGGTGTCCATTTTGAAGCAGCTATATCACATTGGTCTTCAACTAAAAATTAGGTTGCTCAAACGGTGGATACACTATACTGGACTGACTTTGAATCACTTGAGGAGTCAAGAAATCTCCCAGAATCTCATTCCCTTCGTCCATTGCCTCTCCTTCGTTAGCATGAATCATGGGATTGTTTAATTTGTTGGCCATTTGTACTTGTGCTTCGCGGTGATTTCTTTATCGTCGGTGAAAGATGTGCTCAATTTCAGGATCAGTTGGAATCAATTCTCCTCCAGGCAATCGTGACATGCAAATATGAGAATTAAAACCAGTACGAGCACTGAGATTCAAACAATTTAATTAACTAAAACACAAATAGAGGATAATAAACTAAAATAAAAATAAAAACAAAAACAAAATTATGCTAGTAAAATAAATAAATTGAGTTCGAATTAGTGCCTCAAGAAATAAAATTAAACTAAACTCAATCCCCGGCAACGGCACCAAAAACTTGTTCGCGAAATATTTCTTTCGATTTAAATTACCGCAAGTGTACGGGTCGTGACAAGTAATAAAGTGGACTTTAGAAGTCCGAGTATCGTCCCACAGAGAAAGAGTAGTTCAATTTTATTTATTTTAGCCTTAACCGAAACTAATTGATTCAAGATGAATTTTAGAATTAAAAGCCCTAATTTTGGGGGAAATCCCCAAATTGAAAAAACCTAATTTCAAATCAAACCCTAATTTCAAATCAAACCCTAATTACTTAAACTCACTTAACGAATGACTCAATTACGAAATGTTATGAAAATAAATAAAATGTATTGTCAATTTATGAAAATCTATGTAAAACGAATGTACTAGGATCACGAATCCCCAAATAATTACTAATTAAACCCTAATTTCACAATTTTGATAATTCAATAAGAATTTGACAAATCAATGCTCTTAAATCTATTCAATACTCTCTCTCGAGATGTATTGAACCTATTCTCATAAATCACTAGCCTATATCTCTATGACGGATGCAATTATACAAGAACGCATGTAATCTTTTTGTGAGCAATTAAAGATTTACATAGGGCATAAGGGTATATTTCTATCCCCTTTCGAACCCTATAATGAATTATATATGCCGAGTTTAATCCAATTTTCCCAAGTTCAAAATTAAACCACCAAGTTCACACAAATTAAGTGCACATTAATTGTGGAAATAAATAAAGCAATATAATCCATTCAAATATCCCATCGAACTATGAATTCAAAATCATGAAATAACAAGTTTAATAATAATTACATGGTTCATCGATCACCTAGTTGCAGAAATCTAGCCTATCGTGATAAAAATAACGAAATCTAACAAGTTTTGAATAAAATACATTACCGGGTTATCAAAACTTGAAGAAATCTTGTAAATCTTCGCACCAATTCTTGTTCTTGCCTTCAAATCCTCTCCAAGATGAATGTTTTTGCCTCCCAATTCATTCGTGCAGCTTCTGGATGTTTATTTGCTATTTAAACCCATCCAAATTAGGTTACCAAAGGAGTTGCAATCATATAAGGAAACTGCAAAAATTGGGGAAAAGTTATACCTATGCGACCGCATAGGCATATGAAAAATGGCATTTTTAAACCCTAGAGGGTCACTCGCGACCGCATAGGTTTTAGACTAAGCGACCGCATAGTAGAGCGAATTTCTAATTTGAGTCATTTTGATCCTCAAGTTTCATTCATTCACTTCTTGACCTCCTCATCTTGTTTCTAGTTGCTCCAATGTTCCATTATTACTTCCAATTGGTGCTTGGCTTGATCAATTGCTTGATGTGTTCATTGGGTCAACTTTCAGATAATTGCAATTCGGTCCCTGAATTTTCATTTTGCTCCAATTTGGTCCTTTTTCGGCTCTTTTCTCCCGAATTCCACTATTTCCACAGAATTACCTACATTGCATGAATTTGACAAAGTTAAGTAACAATTCAATCATTTTATTTGTATTTAAGTCATGTTTGTGATGTAAATAAATGTGCAATAACACACTTATCATCTATCGTGTGGCTCTGACTCCAAAATCAAAGGCTCAACTCCAAAAGATGCCAGATACTCAATTGTTGCTTGATAAAGAAAAACGTTTTTCATATACGTGTTGATAGCTCAGTGAGTGGAGAAGTTCGAAAATAATTATACCTTTTCATTTTTTCATTTTTATCGAAAATCGAGTTCATATCATTTAATAATTCACAAGATAACATTATGTAATTATAACCAAAAGTGAAATATTCACGTAAGGTCGTAAAATATCATCTTAAAATCATGATATAAATATCAGTTGATAACCACGCTATAATCTCATCACATCAAACATATTGAAAAATCCATCAAAAATGTACCCTCTGACTGAAATATATAATCCGTCCCTCGGGCTAAGAACTTTCGCTAGGGGCCTTTGGCCCCTCCGTGAACGAAAGTTTGTTTCAAAGACCTTTCGTAATCAATTCTAGAACACAGTTAAGACCCTTCAGTGAACTAAATGTACACGGTCGAGATCCCTTCATCCCCGGTCAAAACCCCTTGGTGTAGTATAGAACACGGCCAAGACCTCTCAGTAAACTAGAAGAAATATATAATCACATGTTCTTTTCTGGTCGATCTCAAAATCATACCTCATATTCCAATTCACAATGTACCGTATACAATCTTTAAAATTCACATGTATCATAATAAAAGATATTTTCATAATAACCATATAATTTGAACACATAATTGCATATAATTGCACATATTTTAACAATATACTTAATTTATATCTACTTTAAAAAT